CCTTTAAAAAAGAAAAAAAATACTGTTGATGTTTAATAGTTTTTAATTACTAACGAATTATATAATTTACCTTGTCGAAAATTATTTTTTAAAATTATTAAAATAAATTTTCATTCTAAATAAAGTTTTCCACTTACGGTTTCATAATTTATGTCGCCTTCGAGCTTAATGCTCAAGTTTCCCCCTAGATGGACCCCAAAGCACAAACTACCTCTCAATTATCCAAAAGACTATATGCATATGTGTGTCTTTGAAAATCTATGGGTCATGAATGAAAACTTTTTCTACCCTACCAGAGAAAAGACCATAGTCCAAAATTGAAAGGAAAAAAAAATTACTCGAACAAAATTAAAGTTGGACAATGAAAAACATAGTTTATAGTACAAATTTGATGTTATGTAATAAATGTAAAACGTACGATACTTTCAACCATAATTATTATAATATATGATATTAAGTTCAATATATTCCCACTGGAAATAAAAATATTTCCCCCAAATTTACTGACAAATTGGATGATCCGATATGGTGCCAAAAAGGAGGAAAAAAGAATAATGTTGGCTTTGCCTTTACAATTTGCATGCATGGCTTTCCCCATCTCGCAATGATTTGAGTCCGCGAATGAGAAGCAGCCACGTTTTCAAATTTTAGGAGGACACGTAAATGGTTGGTTTTGTCGGTTTGTGTGGGCTTGCCCCGGGTGTTTCGATCTCGGTGGTCCAATTCCAAGTTATGTTCTTAAATATTCCAGCCGTGGTCAGTTCCAATATTGATATTTGTGATCGAATGAATTAGATTAGAAGGACCGTTTATGTCTTTATGATATTCGATTCAAAATAACTGATTAATAAATTAGATACCAATAATTAATTTTTAAAAAAATAAACCTCGCAATTTCATATAATATATTAATTTATAGTTCTCAAAATATAATTTTATTTTTCGAAGTATGTACTACTAGTTCCGTCATTTCCGAGTTGCTCTTCTCTAATTTTATTTTAGATTTTGGTTACACGTGTCAAATTTATGGATCTTTTTATTTTAATCAAAGTGGAATATTCTTGCTTGTTTGTCTAAAGAACATCTCTGTTCTTAAGTGTACCTAATTATAGGTCGGTAATAATAAACAATTTATTTTAAATTGGAATATTAATATTAATTTCATGATCCATCTCATCTAAGCGTAGCATGATACGACGCTTGGATAGCTCTATTCCAAACCATTCATTAATGAACGACCAACTTTGTACCAACGAAACTCGAAGGCGTAATGAGCACGAGTGAGAGCAGAGCCTTGGCATTTGTCTATTTGATAAGAATATTTCTTCGCCATCATACAAAATAGTATCGAAAGAGTCAAATAAAATTAATTCAAGCGATGGTTAAATTAGCCGACCGAATGGAATAGAATTTATATTATTATTCTAGCATCCATGATTAGAAATGTCATTGCGTTTATATTAATGTTTTGGGTAAAGCATATAAATCGTCCATCGACTATAGGGTATTGTTTTACTAAGTCTCTCGACTATCAAAAGTTACGAAATGATCTATAAATTATAGGATGTTGTTTTGTTGAGTTCCATGACTATTAAAAGTTATAAAATAGTCATCCGATTATTCATCATGTTCCAAGTTCATCATTTTTCGTTAAAAATTTGACGATATTTTGAGCTTAATGTTAATCTAATGTATGAGATATGATAAAATTTAATCCCAAAATCTTAAACGATATTATATCTCCGACAATAGGTTAACATCTAGCTCGCACTATCGTCAAATTTTTAACAAAAAAGGACAAATTTAGAACATAATGAATAGTTGGTGACTATTTTATAACTTTTAATAGTTGAATGATTAAACAAAATAACATCTTATAATAAAGGGATCATTTATAACTTTCAATAGCCGAATGACTTAACAAAATAATATCTTATAATTGAGAAATACATTTGTGTATTTTAACACCTGTAATAAATTTAATATATTGTGATATTTTAGGAGAAGTCGTGTGGATGGCTATATGGAGAAGGAGTTGCTATATATACAAATCCAGACAGCATGTCTTTGTCAAATCTATGAGAAATCTTTTGAAATATCCCTAGCACACGGCCTGAATGAGACCGTACGTTATCCAAAAGTGCAAAAAGGCATGGTGATCAAACCGTAGTGTTATTTTTCAAAGGTCGTAGCCATTGGAGCTTGTATTTATGCTGTCAGGGGACAAAGAATCGAAGATGATGAAACACGTGGTGGCATTTTAATTTCTTTTTTTTTTGAAGGAAGTGGCATTTTAATTTCGTTTGTGGTATTAAGGGACCAATGTAATAATTAACAGTAAGTCATTGTTGTTTAGATTCCATCGGGGGCCGCATTCCAATTAGACCATGAAGTGAACAGTAAACTGTACTAACACGGACAGATTGAAAATTTACTCGAGTTAATCGATAAATATAAGTAGAATTGAACAAGATTTGACGTTCATATTTTAAATTGAATTAAGATGAATGAATATAAAATATATCGATTCAATAAATAAACCTGATCTGATCATACCTGACTGTGTACACATATAATCAAATTTGATGTATATAGAATTAAATCATTAAGAAACAGGTTCATATGATATTGAGTTTTCATCCATGACCAAGTCAAGTAACACATATAATCAAACAGGCCCTTGCATGGAGCCACGATAAGGGTGTTATGGTATCAACTTCCAATTAGTTGGGCTTAAAGTTTATGGTTGTGCTTCTGGCTGCAAAGCCCACTTCCGGTTTTTGATTTTCTGAAAATTATCAACCCAAACTCTTTGCTATCCTTTTGTTTCAAGAGGACCCTATCTTTTTGGGGGGAGGAAAATGACCCATCCATGCCATCTTTGATAGTTTCGTTAAACAATTGGGTTAACGTGCACAATTTTAAAACAATTTAGTATAATATTTATATTATAAGATTCTTTTCCATACATAAATCGAATGATGTTGAATGTTTAGGCATTTCGATCCCATGTCTTCTTGTGTATTGTGCTAAAAATAATGGTTGTTTAACTAGATTCAATTAACAAATTAATATATATTTTATCCTTTTAACATTTAAAACTTAATTGATATTGTACAAACTAACTTATTTCAATGGTTAAAGGAATCATTGTTGGTCTTAGAGGTCACTGGTTCGAGCACCAACATCTATAACATGGTGATTGAGTGTTCATTGTGAAATGGTTTAAAGTGTTTAGAGCATTAACTACTTTGTAATCACCTTAGCTTAATAATAATTAAAAAAACCTTAATTGATACTTAAATTTATTGAGTGACATCAGTGGTTAAAAAGATCGTTATTCTTTATTGAAGTCATAGGTTTGAACATTTATATGCTTTATGCATTGCTTATAGTTATTTTTTTTAAAAGAAATCAGATACTACTTAGACTATTAAAAAACACCTTATTGATTTACTTTTTCTTGAAACTAATTAATGCTTCCTTAAATTTTAATAATGCTTCCTTACCGTGACATCAGTGGTTAAATAAATCATTATTTTTTATTATTTACTTTCTTCAAACCTTGTCCCATAAAAAAAATTTCCAACAAGAAAGGGAATGAATGAATTACATGCATTAAAATTACTTTAAAACACCACATAAAATTGTTTGATCAAAGATATAAAAGTATGTTCATCCTTGAGTTTTATAGATTGAACTAAAATGATTAATCATGCAAATTGTTTAATAATCTCCAAATTAATGACCAATTGAGGTCATAGGTGGTATCTTTATTTTCTTTTATTTTTTTTTATTTTCAAAAAGTCTGCATGTATTGACATGTTTTCTTATGTTTTTTGACATGTTTTTCGGTTGTTTGGTCGTCTTTCATTTATCTTTTTTTCTTCTAATGATTGATTTGACATCGTCACTACTGATCAAGATGACGCTTATCTGATATCTTGTTGATATTCCATGCTTTGCACCCACATATTGGATTTGGATACCCGATGTGCATTTGCGGATAGCTTTTTACGTCGCTCGAGTCTGATTAGCGGTTTGTCGGTGGTCTTTCAATAGCTTGATCCCTTTTGTGGTTCATTTGTAAATGCGATCAAATATATTTGTATCTATCTTTGTTTAAGTTTTTTTTGTTAGATTTTTAATCTTTTCAAATTAATGACCAATTGAGGTCATAGGTGTTATCTTTATTTTCTTTTGTTTTTTTTTATTTTCAATAAATATGTATGTATTGGCATGTTTTCTTATGTTTTTTTACATGTTTTTCGGTTGTTTGGTCGTATTTCATTTATCTTTTTTTCTTCTTCTAATGATTGATTTGACATCGTCACTAATGATCAAGATATCGCTTATATGATATCTTGTTGATATTCCCTGCTTTGTACCCTCATATTGGATTTGGATACCCGATGTGCATTTGTGGATGGCTTTTCACGTCGCTCGAGTCTGATTAGCGGTTTGTCGGTGGTCTTTCAATAGCTTGATCCTTTTTGTTGTTCATTTGTAAATGCGATCAAATATGTTTGTATCTATCTTTGTTTAAGTTTTTTTGTTATATTTTTAATCTTTCCTTATATGTTCCTTATATGATCTCAAGTTACTAATTTTGTTTTAATGATTAAAGAAAATTTTCCTAATTATATGGTTAATTTACAATTGTGATTGTAAATCTTTATTGTAATTTGGAATATATATTATTTTGAATAAAATTAGTTAATTTTATATAAAAAATATGTAAATGTTATTAACGGCATAACAACTAATTTCGTTTATTTAAAGCTCGAAAACAAAATGAAATAATGGAATAAGATATATATTACAAAGCGGATTTGATTTCATCATATGCATACCAATAACCAATTTGTTTATCCATAGATAAAATCATTCAAATATCAATATCCAGATGTATTAATATGATATAAAATGCTCAATCTTCCAAGTAATTCAATCCTAAACTACGTAAGACCACATATATATATATATACTACAAGTATATGAGCTATATACGTAAACCAGATATGAATGCATATATCCTTCAAAAGTAGAGAAAGCATGATATACATAGAAACTGAAACCTGGAAAGGTTATTTTCCAAGCTCTTCTACTTTGGTTGATGCATGTTGTTGAGTTGGAGTGGTTATTTAACGTATTTGGAGCATGATCAGGCCACAAAATCAGGCAACAATGGCGCCGCGAAGCGTTTCCTGTTTTGCATCTCAATGTGTGTGGGATGAGAAGCTTGCTGTTGTGTGTTGTTCCCATACATATCTGATTCGTTACCCCCTAGTTCTAACCTTCTTCCTACCTGATTCATGTTGAGGTTGGATACCAAGTTTTGTCGGTTCTCACAATGGGGAAGGCCAAGTGTGAGGGAAACGCCACTGTTCCCATTGAATCCCGGCGGAAACTGTTGCTGCTCGGCATCAAACCTCTCTACGTCTCGCATCGAACCATAAACACTCCCACTGAAATACGAGTACCCGTCTTTGAATAGCCTTTCATCACTGAACTTCATGTTGATTCCCCGTGTTTCACCTTGCTTCATGTCCATCTCGACCGGGACGATACCTACCGGAGAGTTCTGCAAGTCCCTTTTTGGACTCGTTTGAGCTGCACCGTTGAGACTGGATGGCCCGACGAGATTGAATGATGTTTGTTGCAGTTGCAGAACGGACCCTGCCATGGGAAATACTGAGATTGTGGAAGCATTGTTGTTGTTGTTATTATTATCCTGGTTGATGGATGATTCCTTTTGCTGATCGCTTTTGTTTGCAATGGTGATCATCTCTTCGCTGCCATTAGTTCTTTCTAGTTGTTCCTTCACTTCCTCCGTGTACATTTCTTCAACCATCGGCTTCCAAAGCCGTACTCGAGCATTTATAAACCAGTTTGACACCTACATTCCAACCCAAATCAATTCACCAACTACATAACTACCTTCCATTTCTTTCCCATGAACACAAGAAAAAGGAACAAAAGCAGTGAAATGGAAACCAGACCTGGCTTCTTGTAAGCCCTGTTTGCTTGGCAAGCATGTGTTTGTCTGAATCTTTAGGATACCTGAAGTCAATAGGAGAAGGCGTTTCCAATGAGATAATATGCATATATTATATATTATATATTATATATGCATAGGGATGGGCCGAGAGGCGTTACGGGTGAAGGAAATGCTCGAAAAGCCAAGCACGAAGAACGCAGACAGCTCGTTCGGGTAATCCTCTTTGGGGTCTCCAAGCATTATTGTGTTGGATCATTCCCAACTGTTGCAGCGCCCGCTGTTGTCGAAGCTGATGATCGACGTATCGTAGTCTTGAACCTTCGATTTTAGCGCCTAAGCAATCCTCTTCTCCTAGACTCTTGCTTGTGGCTTTAATTTGTCCGGATATCGCGTCTTTAAGACACCGGAATTGCTTCGAAATGGTCTGCAAAGCAAGGTCTGTGTATGCTTTCGCAGCACCAAATCCCGCCGCCTGCTCGAATGAAACGACCACTGCTTGCATTTGGTGATGGTACTGCCTGTATCTTTGTTCCACCTTCAAGGTCACAAACAAAAGGGAAAAAAGGAAAGAAAATCAGTACAAAAATGCATGAAAATCCATGTTTAAAGTCGGAAATAATAGTGGAATCACTTTCAACTAGAGGCACCGAAGTTTATCCCAAGTGAAATATAAACTTAACAACTACTGGACCCGTTATACCCGCAGTCATCTCATCTGATGTCTAGGCCGACCATGCAGGCCTAGTGAATGAAAGCAATAGAAACCACGGGACAAAAGGAAAAACAAAACAGTGATCACAGGTTTTGATGACAGACTCAGTGATTTGAAATGGTTTGATCAGAAGGTAAACCTCATCAAGCATGGTGACAAGTTTTGCTTTCTTCATCTGAAGTTCTTGTCTCTGTACTGTTGTGAATTCGGGTCCGGGTTTATCCCCGTTTTTATCGGCACTCTCCACCTCTCCCCCGGTCACATCATGCTTTGATTCTTTGTTCACCTTTGTCTTCTCTTTGGTCCCCTCAGACGGGTCGGTCTTTAACCCTCGCCCAACGTTAACAACTTCATCGAGAAGCTCTTGTGCTGCTCTCAAGTATTTTGATCCAAAAACTACACTCTGAACACCGGTAATCCCATTCGAAACTGCCGAAACCGTCGACGGTGAGCTCTCGGGTATCTTCATACCGCCAGCCGCCAGCGACGTCGTTGGAACTTGAGGTTGTCCATGGATAACTGTTTCGATGTTACTTGACCTATAAGGCACCTGTTGAGAAGATAGACTCAGGGACAAGCCTTGCCTCGGTGACACCCCCGACCGACATATTACCAACTGCGATGAGACATCATGTGGTCCACCCATGGTATCAGCGGTGGACACCACCGACAAAAGCTTGCTGCTACTTTCTGGCGGTGAATTCTGTTGATCGATACTCGAGCCCCATAAGTTATGGCAAACGCCGGAGACTAGGGGTGACGGACGGTTGTGATCATCCAAGCTGGAAAGTCCGATTTGAGGAGTCGGGGATGGAAGAGGCAGACTGAAGTGCTGGTTATGGTTAGATGGTGGCGCGTGGGGCAAACTTGTTGGATTTAACTCGTTGCCAGCGGGGTTCAAGAAGAACATGTTGGTGGCGGAGGCCGGTTGGTGTGTGTCGGAGTAGGATACGTAATTCGGGTTCATGAGATAGAGTGTTTGCATCCCATCAGACGCCGTTATTCCACCTTGGAATTCCGAGCTCCCATGAAAGTACGACGCCATAATCCAAAGCTCCACAAGCAAAACAAAAAACACTCCTTACAGTGTATACTAGATCTTGTCTGGAAGTTAACAAATCAAACCAGTTTTCATGTTCAATTTATTACATTCAGATGATGAGATGAGGTCCTGGTTCTTACTTTTCCAAACATAACCTAAAAAAATAGTGAGAACCCACAACAAATAAGCAATAGAAACGTGGTGTTATTTCCTGATCTGAAACAATCACTTAGAAAAAGAAAAAAGAAAAAAGAAAAACTAAGCTGTGCTTGAAGAAAGTGAGGACATAGAAATTAAAAAAAAGAAAAGAAATCAAAGAAAAGCTGAGGTTTCTGAAAAAGAATAAAATAACAAGAAAGACATGAAAAGAGATGGGTTGTTGCAGAGACAGGCCAAGTACATCTGAGTGAAGATTTGAGAGCATATACAGACCCGTACGTTATGTAAGAAAAAAAAAATCTTTTTATTCTGTTTTGCTCATCTTGTCAGACTCATTATTATTTTTCTTTAACTCCAGTCCAGTGTATAAATATATGACAATATAACTAAAAACAAGAGAAAAAAGAAGAAGAAAATGGTGCCCACTATTCTTTTTCTTTTCTCTCTTCCAAAATACAGGATTTTCCAGGGAAAAATAAATAAATTCACTTTTTGATAAATTGCTTTTGCTTTTTCTACGGCGTACACGCCTTTTCCCACCCCCTAATCTTTTTAATCGTTGTATATATAAAAAATATATTCAATAATTACAAATTTATAATAATAATAATAATCAAATATTATAATATACAAATGAATAAAAAAATTAAAATACATCGACTGAATTAAATCTCTTGTATGAGACAGGGGAATGTCTATTTCTATAGGGGTTGATAATGGAGACAAACACCATTGGGGCTTGTTTTTCTTTTTCTTCTTCTTTTTTACTTTCAAATATCTCTTTGTATTGCATTTGCTTTTAAAGTCTTCTTTCCTTTATGATATTTCCCCCCTCATTTTGGTTATTTATGTAATTTTTGTGGTATCAATGGGATGCAAAGACCTAGAAGATAAAGCAGGTGATAAAACACGATGACATCCACTCTCCAAAGCACCCACCAATAACGAAAACATTGAATTACAATATTTCCCCCCATGCTTTTATAAATATATTGAAAGAATGTGCTCGTTATTATTATGCCACGAAAGAGGCAGCATTTGGGGTAAGAAAATGAGCTCGATTATAATAAGAGTTTTATTTTTATTTAAAAATTTTGAACAAGTTAATAGAAATTAAAAATATGGGAATATTGTAGAAAGCAAAATAAAGGAAAGTGGAGTCAAAAGTTTTGACTTAGTTATCATTTGATTCAATCAACAGGAAGACGGAGTTGGTGATCCATGATCGATGTCTTGTCCGCTGCTTCATTGCGCCAACCTTTGCTCTATATCTACTCTTTTGGTAACACGTGAAAATATACCCTTCGATATTAGATAAGATCTAGACGTCCGGAAAGCGTTCGAGTATCCTATAATCATCATCTTATTCTCAAAAGACATATCTGATAAGATGTATAACTTCATATTTAACCATGAAATCTCTTATACATGAACCCTAATCCACTTTTTTGATCTTGTGTGAATCTTATAATTCGGACGCTTAATGGCATGGACAAATTTAGGCAGATCTTTCCTCGGAAGTCAGCAACTAAAGGCTGCTACCAAAATCAGCATGAAACTTGATAAGTAAATAGAGAGTGAGAGAATGTGTGCTGAATTTCAAATATAAATAAATAAGAGAGAAAGTAAAAGGAGGAGTAAAAGATCAAAACAGAAATATTTAAGGACCTACTTGAATATGTTGAATGAAAAGATGAGGAAGGTAGTGGGGTTGATTTTGAAACATAGATGACAGGTGTGCTTTCCTTTAAATAACTATCGTTAAAACTCATATCTTATCAATATTTTTTATTTTATAATTATTTTGATCAAATTTGAACAGTATGATTTTCTATCATTTTAGAATATTTATGTAACTTTAATTTTTTGGTTAATAAGAAATTTCATTTTTTAATATAGTCTCTTACCTTTATATCATATTCAACTTGATCACTTGATTTCAACCCTTTGCATATTACTGACCCCTTTATACTCATATTATAAAGTAGTATATGTTCTAAATACTCTCAATCATTTGACAATGAACACTCAATCACCCTACTGCAGACGCTAGTACTCGAACTCGTTACCTTTAGGAACAATAATGATTCCTTTAACCATTGAGGTAAATTGACTCGTACATAAAATCTCATCTTTAAAAATTAATATCATAAATATATTAAAAGATACTTGACTTATTAAATAATATTACAAGTCTTACTTATGCATGCTAAAAGAATATGAATCGATATATATATATACTATCACAAATATATTTAGACATAAATAACGTTTGACATCAAAATGCTTAAAAAAAGAGTCGGTAGATTAATTTTATTTTTTTGCTAAAATTAATAAAAATAATGTTTAATTGATTAAAAATGTTAACATTAATTTGATTTCCATCGCCGTTTGTTTATGGTTAGAAATATATGATCCATGAAGGTCCACGTACTACAAACGCACTAATTATTTGTTACAAGTAATAATGATGATAATAATACTGAAAAACAAAGCACGTGTGATTCACGTACCAATCCATCAGAACAAAAGCTGAAAGTGAGTATCCGAACACCGTCCGATCATCATTCTGTACACGCGTCGGCTAGTAAACGAATTACTCTGTTTGTGGCACCCGCAATCTTTTTAATAAATGCTTAAAAGGAGTCATCTACACGCGTCTAATCGCGTAAGTGCGGGCCCACGGACGAGATTCCGGTACTCCCAGTGAGAAAGCACCATCAATAAGGAGGACCCCACGTGTCGAAATTTTAATGGCTTACCCCAATTGGGACTTTGTGGGCCTTTGGAGTACAATAATTTTCTTATGCGAACAGAGTGGACTGTCGTTGAACGCGTGGCGACCTGCTAGTTGTTTAATGAATGAGTTTAATTTTACGTGTTTTACGGTGACACCTTGCAGAAGTCCATCTCTTTTAGAAAATGATAGTTTAGCCCCCTTGGTTTTAATTGTTTTGGAATTACGTACCCAGTCAAAAGATGCTACGTATACGCCAAATTTTTAATTATTTTTTCCCTTTATAATTCGGCGTGGTTTGAAAATTCTATTTAAATAAAAAAAATCATTACTAAAATTGTAATTCACACTTAATCAAATGAATTTGGACTGAAATCACATAAAAATAAATTCCAATATAATTGCGCATGTCGGTAATTAAGTGTCGATTCCAATCATATTTAATTTGAATACAATCCTTTTAGCTGGATAAAGCAGTATACAAGTGAAATGATGGATGCTATTTTCCTTAAAAAAATGTATTATTGTTTAATCGCATTACTAAAACAAGCATTGCTTTATTTTTATCATGAGAATTAACTAATGCAATTTAAACTATACGATATTAAATATTTTAATTAAACACTAAAAACTTAAAATAAACCCTAAATCGTAATTTCTAAGCCCTAAACAAGACATATGATAATTAAATAAATAAGGTTATGTTAATCAAAATTTACGCCGAATGTGTATAAAAATCTCCTTTTTTTATTATACATTTTTAAAAAATATTATAGCCTACATATTGTGGTTATGTCCTCGTGTGAATCACAATTTTTCCTCCACATAAGATTAAAGAGATTTTTTTAATGAGATCCGTGTTAGTATCTAGTTTTGTACTGGCATAGTTGAATCTAATACATAATATCCTTTTAAAAAAATGCATTAAAGCCAATAAATTGCATTATTCCATGATTACTTAATAGATTATTATACCTGGACTGATTATATCATTAAGTTAGCAATGGTGGGTGGTTTTAATTCATTTAATTAATAATGAAAACCCAATAATGCATGATGTAGTTCCAAAGTCTTTTCTAATGGCCCCATGGGGAAAGCGAAGATGTCTAACTAAATTCATAATATTTTCAACCTCAGTTTCAACTAATTAAGCGACAATCAAGCTCGATTCCAAAGTTAGAGGAGAAATAATTTAATTAGCTATTGTGCATATAAAAAACTAATTATGATTAGCACCAAATTTTCAGTTATCATTCAAATACTACAATACCAATTGTAATGTTCACGACGAATAAGAAATCTTAGCCGTTCGTTTATATATTTATTAATTGATATCTACTAAGTTTGATATATACATGAGACATGATCCGTTCATATCATATAAAATTTTATATTTTTCAAAATATTCACACAAAAAAAGAGACAATCTTAATCATATATTTCCACTCATCTAACTCACTAGTCACGTAGAAATCTGAAAATAATCTATTAAATGAGACTGCCAGTAAAAACATAAACGCTAATGTTTACCAGAGTGCTAAAGAAAACTACGCCAGGTATCTAAGTACTGGTTTCGGCTACTTTATATTATAGAAAATATTTGTTGTTCGAGAATTTGAAATCGTTAGGACATTTCTATTGTAGACATGATGTTAAAATTAGCCTCCCAACATTTATTAAAATGATTATTTTGTCATTTATTCTATTTTTCAGGGTATTTTAAATCTGAACGTTTCAATTCAGAGAAAAAAACTCTTAATATTTTACAGAATAATCATTTTATCCCTTATTCTTTTTAGGGCATCTTAGCTCTTAATGTTTCCTTTTAGGTTAAAAAAGGCTTTTGTCTTGGAACGTTAATCATGTGTTAACTAATGATTTTCATCTATAAAGGGAGTTTTTCGCCCCATAATAAAATGTTAGGGTCAAAATGCTAAAAAAAATAAAATGACCATTTTGATAAATATTGGAGGCTATTTTTGGTATTATGCCTTCTATATATGCAATGGTGCCCCAAAGGCCATTTACACGTATTGCTTTTATACTGCCCATGAGAAATGATGAAAACCATATTTAATTCTTTAGGACTCTACACAGCAAAATCAGATTTTTAGCTGCGTTCTTTTAGTCATATAGCGGGCATTTTTAAATGCCACTAAAAATTCTTCTGACACAAATACTAACGCGGTAAAAAGCACAACTAAAGGTTAAGCTTTTTAGCGACGTTTATTTGACAAACGTCGTAATAGGTTAGGTCATTTATCTGTTCCGAGTAGTTCTACCACCTTTGGCCGGGTTAATTTCTCGAATCGAGTACAAGAGGAGTTACTTGGCAGCCTCTGTAAGTCTCTGTTGCAAGGAGGAACTCGTCCACTCGGTTCTTTCAGATCCGACTGTAGCTAGGATAACGCTGGGATTTGCTCTCAAACTACTTCTGTTTATGGCTCTCAACTCAGTTCATTGGTTGAGTCTGGCCATAGTTCGAAGCATGATAGCAGTCTCTCGACTGCATATTCAAAGAGGAACGATGAAATGACCAATCCGAATCGTAGAA